CGAATCTTATGGCTGGACTAATGAACAGCAGGTAGGCAGTCGATGGGAACAATGATGAACAGTGAGATGGAAAAATTCGAATAAATTGATATCTCTAATGCTCATATAGGTGGGCACACATCAGCCGGCTTACGTTTGTTGATCTGAAGATCAGTAGGTACTATTCTCGAACGAGTATGTACAGTACTAATCGGTAAGTCTTCGGAACTCAAACAAACTTTTTTGTAGCGATTTACTATGTAGCTAGGATACCACTTCTTACAACCTAGATATAGAGCGATATAATTCTTAAAAAAGAAATCTAAAGAGAGGGATAGCTTTATTCGCATTAAATCTATAAAATAGCTTCTTAGGATTTTTAGTAATATAGCTATATAGAAAGATATAGATTTTCTAAGATATACAGTTTTTTACAAATTTAGATAAATTCGAGCTTTTCTTAAAGTTTGTAAAGAAGTGACGGTCTTTATAAATTAATAACTCTATCAACAAAAATCTTAAAAAAAAATCTAAGTAGGCTATCTCTTCATAAATGTATAGTCCTACAATTTTGTCTCTTTAGATTTATTTTTAAAAATCTGTTATAAGCTATATACACATCTGAAATAGCAGCATTTTGATCTTATAGTAAATCCCCGCAAAATAAGTTTGTTTCGCTTCCGAAGACTTAGCGACACCCGCTGTAACAGCCTTGATCTCCGTATGCAGGTGGGCAATCTGGTCCATAGTTGCAGTCTTCTGAAGCGGGGTCTCACTACTACTACAACGTTCATTGTAGTCACAGTGCGAAGAATCGGCCACATATAACTGCGGTCATGTGATCGACCGAGTTCCGAGTCTCCAAGACTCCAAGAATGCAAGCCTGGGCAACTCGTTCTTGACGTAGACCAAGAAATTTAGTTGGACACTGGATTCACAGAAGCGTGAAGAGTCTATATACAAGTCGAACCCCTTCTCAACAGAGCTGAGGGATGTGTCCCAAGCCCAAGTCTCTCACATGGCAGCATTCGTGCAAGTAGTCTGTCTGGTAATCGTCTCCATTAACGCCGCACTGGATCCTGGAGGTTTCTCAAAAGCACCAGCATGGCAACTCACCCTGCCGCTTCTCAGTCTGCACCGCATAATACAAGACCTCTTCGAGCTCATGATCCTTGGTAGACCGCGTGAGCAAGCCCCGCCACGGTCTGAAAAGGATTCCGGTAACTCTGCAGCTGGACCGAAACCACAGTTAGCGATCAAAACACTTAAATTTGCAGAACCTGTATCTCTCTACGGGACCGGGAACCAAAAGCCCTCTGGATGAAGCTGTTAGTAGCCACTGCCATGTGCTGCTGGGTCACTGGCAATCCTAACATCGCCCGACGTCGAGGCCTAGTTCAAGACAGTCTTCCACGGCAGATCCAGCTCGCGATCGACATCACAGCCATCTTCATCAGCCACTCGACCTTCTTCATGCTCATGACTTCGAAGTCTTGTGAAGGTATCGCTGTTCGAGCTCTCCGCTGTGCAGTCTGGTTCACGCCTCTCGCCGCTGTTGCCGTTCTACTGGCCATGATGCCAGAGCATGACAGGTCAGATAAGATGAAGAGATCTGCGGGCGTCTGGTGGTTGCAAATGTGTTTCTGGCTAGGCATCGCGGGCTTCGTGGGCTTCGGGGATGTCACACGGATAATTGTGCGACGCGATCCAGTTGGATTTGGCGGGCTGCATTCCATGCATGCTGCCGCGATCGTGTCGCATCACTTTGCGGCAGGACTAATGTTGGCTGGGAACCATGATCCTGTGGGCAATAGTGCGTGGACTTATGCGAGTATTGCAGGGTTTTGGCTGGGATTGGTCGGGTTCAACAGGTTGTA